ATTTAATCTTGAGTTTCTTCAGAATTTGAAGGTTCTAATTTGATTCTAATAAATGTACCCTTAAGATTGAGTACAAGGGCATCACTATCAGAAGACCAATTGTAATTTTTGTAAATGTTCTCTTTTATAACTTGAGAATTATTATTATGAAGATTGTTTGAATTATTAGGATTTCACTGTCATTATAATTATTATTCACTGTCGTTAGAATTATTACTTGAGTCAATCAATAAGGATTCATTAGAAATAAATAAGATATAATAAGAACAATGACTCATATTCTTCGTAATACCAGAGGGATAGAAATAATAATCATACAGAGTTTATGGTGGGAGGGTTACATGACCATCACCCTAAACAACTATCCTAGGAATAAAACTCTATACTATCCTTGAAATTTCTATACATGATTTCTCTCCTTTAACTCATCCTTCAAGAGTTGTTAACTTCCATTTTCGTGTCTTTTTTTCTACTTACTCATGAACTACTGAAATGTTAGGTTTAATTGATGTCCAAACTCCTTTAACTCATCCTTCAAGAGTTGTTAACTTCCTTTTTGGTGTCTTTTCTTCTACTTACTCATGAACTATTGAAATGTTAGGTTTAATTGATGTCCAAACTCCTTCTTAGGTTGTTCCCATAAGACTCTGAACTCTCTTTATGATTTTCCTAGCAGTCTTGGATAGAACAAGATTCTAACCTTCCACTTCCTTACTTGGCTTATCAGATTTTATTCTTTAACCAAAGACCACATTCACTAACCTTGTGTTGGTTCCTTCAAATATTATTTATGAATGATAATCGTATAGTCTTTAGGGTTCCTTTTTATCCAATCTTTGAAAGAAAAGCATTCTTTTATCGTGTGTCTGAGAAGTCTGTGATACATGCAGTAATTGGGCTCATTATTCCTTCCTACATTTTCTGGTTTCCAGTTTCTCACAGTTTGAAGTCTAAACTTTTGAGAAGGCTTTTAAACATTTTCTTCAAAGCACTATCCTAGAAAAGAATATACCCAATTCTTCTTTTGTTCAAAAGTTAATGTTGACATCCTTAATACCTCAAGCAATTACTATTGCAGGTGTTATTGTGAGGGCTGCCACTGCTGTTTTTTGGAATTTTTAGACTATATTTTCATATGCCGCTTTCCATGACCAATAATAGACAAATTCTCATACCTTTTATCTTAAGCCTTTTGGGTTTTTTCTTAGCATTCTAATTTAATAGTGATAGTTATTTTATCTCTTCTTGTAGGCTAGTTGCTTTACTAATTAACTTTTCAAAACTCCTGATAGTGAAACCTTTCAAAAACAAAGCAACTAGCCCATGTTCTTCAAAAGGATTTCTATGGCATGCTATTATTGTAACTTAAGTTAGTACTTAAACTTATGATTCTTCACATTAAGATGTTGTCAAGAAGGATTTATTAGGCTTCTGTTTCTCGATGAATAAATCACCTACAGTGACATGTCGTTGAACTCCATCAAATCTATTTTTAAATATACTTTCTAGCTCTGAAAAATGTCTTAACACTCCCATTAGGCAATTGGACATACTAATTAAAGAATTATGTTAAAATTTTTGTGCGTTGCAACTCAAGAGTATACCAAAACAAGCCTTCTCTTAAGAGCTAATCTAATACAACATGAATAACTGCTAGCTCTAAGTCCCTAAATTTAAGTCTCTAAGTCCTACTTAACCCTCAGAACCAAATTAGGAAACTTCTTAAACTTCCTAGGGCTCCTAAAGAGTTCTCAGTAAAGCTTAAGAATTATTTTGTGGCTTCTATAGATTATCAAGTTGCATAACGACGACCCATTTAAATTCTCTATAGGAAGTGATTGCTCTGATTAGGAAATTATGTTTCCAGCGAAGGGTTGGATATTTTAGTGGCATGAGGAACAACCAACAATTAATAATTTCCTTAATTTTTAATAAACATGTACATGTCTTGAATGAAGCTGCATGATGAACAAGATCTAATCTTCCTTTAAAAGATTTTATATGCAAATTCTTTAACTTTTATGGCGCTTTTGCTTCTTCTTTTTTTTTTTGGAAAGTATTCCTTAATAACTCTTTCTTTTTTCTACATTCCCTCATTCTCTTCTCTCTATGGTCTGAAGGAGATGAAACTTCAATGTATGAAAAATACAATTCATCATCTTTGGCTGGTATTCATGGTTGATCTCTCCTAACTCTTCCACTGATTTCTCTCCTCTTTTACTAATCTTCCTTTAAAAGATTTTATATGCAAATTCTTTAACTTTTATGGCGCTTTTGCTTCTTCTTTTTTTTTTTGGAAAGTATTCCTTAATAACTCTTTCTTTTTTCTACATTCCCTCATTCTCTTCTCTCTATGGTCTGAAGGAGATGAAACTTCAATGTATGAAAAATGCAATTCATCATCTTTGGCTGGTGTTCATGGTAGATCTCTCCTAACTCTTCCACTGGTTTCTCTCCACTTTTACTTATCGATTTATATGATCCAAATGGTTTGTGAACTCTACGTGATACACTAAGTATATGCTTTTATGTCTCTCAAATTATTGACATTGCTTGCTCCTTTAGCTCATTCATTTTTTTAATCATGAACACTTGTGTGCACACCATGCTAATAGAATTTTCTCAAGCTTGAAGTTCTTCCTTGTGTAAAGCTCAGCTTCTAATTTCGGACATAATCCACCTTCACTACATCTTAGAGGATGTTGAATTCTAAAATAAAAATGTTCTCATACCACGTAGGTAGAGTTTGTAAGAGAAAAGAGGCGAAGAAGAATATTTAATAAATTAGATAGTGAAATAAGCAAATCTCTTCCCCTCTTGTTCAAGGATAGCCACATCTTGTTGTATTTTTTGTCAAGCATGCTCAAGGAGAGTTAAATAAGTGGCTTTAGAAAAAGAAAGATTCAAGTTAACATTGTGTCTGTTGATGATGTTGCTGATATTAAGAGTACATAGAGCATACTAATAAAGGTATATATTTATTGCTGAGTCACTTTATTGATAGAATTTATTAAAATTTGATTGTGTGAATTGCTTAACGAATGGACCAAATGAAATGTAATTAATTTGTAAGATTGGATTAATTGAACCCAGCTAAATGACTTTTCTAAACAACTTGTATCAAACTGCTCTTCACAAATTGATTATGCCAAGCTGACGACCTATACAGACTTTTGTTATTTTAAATAACATAAAACATTCTTATTTAATATAGATGTTTGAGATTGTTTAATCTTGACTTGATCGTGAACCACACCCAATGAATAGAGTTTAAGATAAGGAGAGAGAAACCGAGAGACAGAGAGAAATACATACTAAAGAACATCAATTTGATGGGAGGTATGTAACCCTTTATTCTTAGGATGATCCCTCTAATTATAAAGAACTGGGGGTACAACATATGTAGTTACATTTATGGCCCCCTTTAATGTAGACTATACAGAGCTTTGTAGGCATTCTACTCAATGTGGGCTTAGAATTTGACCACTCTGAGACTTGGCTGGTTGGATTGGTTAGCCTTTAGTAGGCATTGTCGGACAGTTAAGCTTGAGAGGCTCGTCAATTGAACTGGTTTGATAAAGGTTGTAGATCAGCCCGGTTCGATAAAGACTAAAGGTCGGCCTGGTTTGATATAGATTGCATGTCGACCTGGCTTTATGTTGCTGGTGGGTTGAACATTTACGGGTAATAGTTCGGCAAGATTGACTCAAACGGCTAAGTTGTGTCGATCAGTTGATCAAATCTAGCCGCCAAGCTTCAATCCCTGATAAGGGGCTGTTGTCAGCTGAGCAAAGCTAGGCTATATTGCCAAAGAAATGTGATACAACGGAGGTCCGAGCTCCCACTCCGCCCCCCACTGTATCAAGTCCGTTGTCCGGACACAATATTTTTTTTTAAGAGAGGGCTACAACCACCATCGTCATGGTGATGGCCAATTTGTTGCCTTTGATCCACTTCCTAGAAAAATAATTATTCTTATAGGTGCCTACTAAAGAAACCCTCGATGATCATTATTCTCCCAAGATTTTTTTTTTTTTTTTTTTTTTTTTTTGGTGAGCCCTCCTTTCATATACATTAGACTATCGGTATCATCACATCTCCTCAAAATTTGTGCAGACATTTATTTGGTGTATAAAGATCATCCTATATTTTGCCAAGTAATGGTCTTTTGTTAATATATATAATAGTTTTGAGTTCTATGTCTGAAAATCCTCTTTAAATTATTTTATCTGATTACCTCACTATCCATCAGTGTGATGTTATAGAAACGGACAGCGCAAAATTTCTATGCAAAAGACTTCCACAGAAGCGACGAAAATAAAACAACGTAATTTTAAAAGTTTAACATATTCTTCAAGAAATTTCCGGACATAATGCAAGGTCCAGAAACCTTTAGCTGATGATTCTTATTCCGATAGGCGCGGACCACCTTCATGTTTTTCAAACGATTGAAATTAGTTAGAATACTTTTGTGACTTTTAATTTTGGCTGATTTAAATTGAATATCTTAATTAAGTTTCAGATAAACATAAATTTCAAATAAAACTTTAATTCCAAAAAAAAAAAACTTCATTCACATTAAGAGTCCGTTTGGGGCAGCTTATAAGTGCGGGCGGTGTTTTCAATATACCGCATCACCGTTTGAAAAACATGTTTTGATAGCTTAATGTGAATGAAGTTTTTTTTTTAAGCACATTAAAGATAAGCATAAGTTGCCCCAAACATACCGAAATTCTCAAACTGTTCTTAAGACGTTTCATAATTCTAACATCAACATTTTAACTTCCTCCCATTCCATCAAATTTTTAATGTTAGATTTTAAAAATTAATAATAAAATAAAAAAAAAATCAAATTATAATCCCATAAATAACAAAACTATTAACTTTATCGAAACTTAATGCCATCGCTCCGAGTACGCCGCCCAAGTTCTAAAAGATACGATTTTTAAACCCTGCACATCAGAAAGATTGAATTTTCTCCCCTCAAAAACAACAAAATGAAAATGAACAAAAAAAGCATCTAAAAAAAAAAAAAAAACAGAAAAGAGAGCCCGCCGGAAAACATTACCACCACTGTCATCGACCCTCCAAATTCACATCCCCACCCTGTACCCCTGCCGCCGGCATCCCCTCACCACCATCAAGCCATCTCTCCATCGGAGCACATTCCAACTTATGCGCAACCTTCCAGTGCATCGCCTGACACGCCCTCGAACAATAATTAACGACACCACAAACCGAACATCGCCGAAATTCATGTCGCCTCGTCTCCGGCCTTCCACACCCTCCATGAGAACACATCCTCAACCCTTCCCTCTCCCTCCCCTCCCCTTTCTCTTCAAACCACTCCACCATAAACCTGTTAACCCCATGCCCTCCCACCGCCGGCACGCTACACCCAAAATCACTCAGCAACGAACTCGCCACAAAGGCCAAAGACGCCAGTTTTTCACTCGACAAAACCGAAGCAAGCTCCCTCGCGTTCGCCTGAAGAAGAAACCGCCGCCCTTCGCCGATGTTCTGTTTCACTCCGTAGCCGTCTTGCAGACAGTGCCCCAGCTCTCGAAGCGCGTCGATATGGCCAAAATACGCCGCGCGGGCGCAGAGAGCGACGCCGGCGCGGAGATCTTTCTTGTTTTTGGAGCCGCCGCTGCCATTAAATTGGATGACGGCGAGCGAGTACAACGCCGCAGAGTGCGAACCCATGGCCGCTTTGGCCATCAGCGACGCACCGCTTCCCCTGTTTTCCAAGCAGTAGAAACGGATCATGCCCAGAGTGTAACAGGCTTCCCGGCTGCCGGCGTCGGTACATCGCTTAAGGAATCGGTGCGCTGATTCCGACCAAGTTTTTGCTCTCACGCAAACCCCTTTTACTGATAATTTGGAAAGAACCATCGGATGCGTTCCTAATGCGTTAAATCGCCTGCATCTGAAAATAAAGTTGGAATCTTGTTTAGAATATGGGTAAGAGATCAGAGATTTTTCAAAAGTTGATCATTTTATTGATGATTACGTGAGGAGGAGGCTGATGAGATCTGCGGGAGCAGAGGCGGTGGCGGATAGTTTGCTGAAGGTGAAGAGGAGCAGGTCGTCGGGGAGGCCGTCAAGGAAATCGACGCCTTTGTCGGAAGACAGTGCGCTTGCGGCGGACTCCGGCTGTTTGACCGCCATATGTTGAAAGATGCGGATTTGTGAGCTCGAGCTCCAGTCCGCTTCGTGTGTGCATCGATCGGCTTTTGAAAACATCGATGCTTCTGCGGGAGGAACCCCCGCATTAAATAGTTGATCCGACATGAGGAGGAGATGGGGTAGAAGAAGGGGCAGCGCAGTTGAAATGACTATTTTGTCCAGGTCAAAAGTCAGATAACGTTGACTGAGTTCCGTTTGCTTTTAAGACGGAAACCGTCCTATATTTAAATCAGTTTCCCTAAGAAAATTTAAAAGTGATTAAAAACGGTCTATAATTACTTTATGCATGCTTATGGGGGGGGGGGGGGGGGGGGGGGCGATGCCACGTGGCATGATGCATCGGCGGAGGCGGACAACTTTAACGGTAATGGTGAAAGATTGTGTTTTAATTCTGAAGATGTCAAGACAGATTATTGGTTTCAGGCATTGGCTGGGATGAAAAGGAATAATGTCCGGGCATCAAAAATTAAGGTTGTCAAATTCGGAGGGATAATGAAACGGAAGAAATAAATGTTTTGACTTTCATTGTTCAATAAAAGTTTAATTAGAGAGTTAATGTGTATAATATTTAAATTTTATAATTTAACATAAATATTTGAATAATAATATATTAATATTAATTTTATTAATTTAATAAATGATATTTTAATTTGAGATAATATTTTTTAATATTTGGAATAATATTCTAAATTAAATTATGAATACGTGATTTTTTTTTTGATATACCATAAAAAAATTTTATCGTTTGATATGAATCTCGGGGCATCTTTGGGGTGATAAATATTGCAAATTAAAAGTCAAGATTATTCAGAGCCTCGATTTTAATAAGTTTATGGTCAATCTGTTTGTCTCAACAAGATGAACATAATGATAGAAAAATTGGTTCGATTTGACAAGAATGTCAAAATAAAGCCATCAAGTCACAATTGAAAACTTCAAATCATTAAGTGAATGGTCTAATGAACTCCAAATATTACCTACATAATCAAATCGAGCACTTGATGCGAGAAATCCAACAAGCTTATGATCGTTTAATCCCAAGGTCATTAAAAACCGCAAAAAGTGAAACAATTTTCCAGAGTATGTCCAATCATCTATGATATAGACAATACAGTGGGTTATCCCCTATGGTCAAGAAATATCAATGAGGGTTATCCAATCATGTGGTTAGAGAAGTTACTCAACAAATGGTCAAAACACTCTTCCCTTGGAAATTATAATTAGACTCCCTCTTTTCCCTTGAGAGGGAAGAAGGAATTGAATTCTAGTACTGTTTTGGAATGAGGATCTGACGATATCTCTTTGCCATCATAGGCACAAACCACCATAAAACATCGCCCACCGATCGCAGTGGACCATAGTTGACAGCTCTTGCATGCCGCCGTTGGTGAATTTTGCTAGCTTACGATGTATCCTGACTATGATGTAATGGCACATATCGAGTATAATGTAATGACATATCCCAAATACGGCGTAAAGAATAATGTTGTATTAAAGTCCCGATGATAACTTTCAGCCTCTATAGCCCCTGACCACCTTCAACTTTGGTCCATTTACTATCATTGACCACCATTGACAGCCTCTGTTTGTCGTAATCTGTGAACTCTGCTAGCTAACAATATATAATAAATATTGTGTAACGTTGTGTCCTAAATACATCATAACGATATATTTTGATTATAGTTGAAACAAATAATGTTGTTTAGAAGATCTGATGATAAACACCTAACAAAAATTTCTTATAATTGTCGTATTCATAATAAATCGACTTCTTTCAAACTCCTTAAGTCTTATATACATTATATACCGAAAAGTGAATTACTTCTAGGCTCAATCCTATGGTTTTTTCCCTTTCTAGAGTTTTTTCCTTGTAAAAAATCTTGATGTATCCTCATGATACTTTCTATTATCTAAGTGTGTTGGATATTCAGGCAATGCTAAGATATTAAATAATCACTCTACTACTATGAATTTTTTTTTCATGCAACAATTTGACACCTTTATTAAATAATCACTCTACTACTATGAATTTTTTTTGCATGCAACAATTTGACACCTTTGAGAGAAATTATCCAATTAATAGAAGTTTACACCTCTTTAGATGCCAACAAATATAATAGATGAGCTTCCATTTTAACACCCACTATTCTATGGTACAACCTCAAAGTCCTTGATGCCAAACCCCTACTTTGTTTTCTAGTAATGCACATTATCTACTGACAATGGATCCTTCTTTTCATCTTTTGAAGATTATGTTTGACAAGTAGAGGAGTCCCAAAATGAGATCTTCTCACTTTTATGTGAGGTTAGAAAATCGACGTATGTGCATATTGGAGGGGCGTGGATATCTTAAATTAATAATATAGAGGTACACATCTAGCACTCACTCCACACGCTAAAGTTTCTTCCCAAGAAGTTGACGTCTTAGACTTTGCTAGCTTCATACATCCATCCTATGTAGATAAGCTTATCCACAAACCTTCAACATGCGTGCAAAACTTTGCCTGCCTCATGCAATCCATCATGAGTTGTGGCATTTGGTGTAAGGGTGGTTCCCTCTAAAAGATATAATTCATTTAGATGATTGACATAATTCCTTAGTCTTCTTCCTTGGTTGAGACCATCCTTCAACACCCTATTTTAACAGAGTTCGAGCTTAAGAACATTGAATATTATGATTGATTATCATGGAACTATTGTATAACAAGCTTTTAACATGCTCTTTTGATAAGTTTTCATTATTGTTCTAAGGGTCAAGCATATAATTTGATCTTTTATTCACTCTAAGTGGAAATCATTTATACCTTTATTGAGCCTGCTATACTATATGTGGATCAATTCATCATAAATCAAAGGATTACCAAAGATTATGCTTATGTTTTTAGGATTAATCAAAGTAAGGTAGAATCACAAAAATATTCTTTTTGATGTTGTATATGAGAAATGTGTTGGCACAAATCTCAAGACAGATGAACGACTAGAGAAAAATATATGATCGATCAGACGTAACTCTTAAACGATCGTTTGAGTTGAACCCTGATAAAGTATCTTATTCGAGCGGTCGGTAGAATGTACCAGGGGATCTCTCATAAGGCGGTGATTAGTCCTTAGGTTGATTTGCAAGAAATATCCTTTAAAATTAGATGCCAATGGAGCCAAGGCTTAGTAGGCAATTAGTGAACTTTCTGTTGATCGAACTAGTCCTCAAATTTTATTGTATGCAAATATCTCTATAAATTACCAAAACATCCCTCTAAAAGGTCAATGAGGTTGGGACTAATATGTACTTTTGTAATACTAAGAACTTTTCTTATAAATAGAGAGTCAATGTTACGAATAAAATTTACACTCTTTTACTCTTCTTTGTTGTACTCTATCCTTCTAACCCATAGAAAATGTTATATACCTTGGGCATATTTCTTTCAAGGTGCGCTGAGTGATACACCAAAAAAATGTTCGATTTTTCATATATTTTTAATTCCTATATTTGATCATTTTTAGTAAAATTGCACTTTAAAGAAAGGTATTTTCTTGTTTTTAATGAAGGTATACTCAATTAGGGGATTTGGATTAAAAAAGAACAAAAATGATGAAATTTGGAGCAAAAAAGAAGCGAAGAAATGCTCGGGCGCCAGAACTGTCGCCGAACGGCGCCAATACACCTGTATGGAGCACGACCACCGTCGAATGGTACCAGTCAACACCAAAATGGTGCTGAGACTGTTACTTCGCAAAATTCATTGAATTTTGACAAATTTTGAAGGGGTGCTTAAAGGAATTCTTGAACTTTTGGCCACACACTAATTAATCACCATTTTTGATTGAAAATGGGGTGAAGGAGGAGAAAAGAAGAAAAGAAAGAGAGCAAAACATTACTTTTGGCCACACACTAATTAATCACCATTTTTGATTGAAAATGGGGTGAAGGAGGAGAAAAGAAGAAAAGAAAAGAGAGCAAAACATTCATACTTAGTTTATTTTGAGAGATCTTGAGAGATTCATATTTAAGTGTTATAAGAAGAGAGGGAAAGTGAGAGATTTATTCTTCATTGCAATCCTTAGGGATGGGTGCATATCATTGTAAGTAGAAGGAAGTGATTCAAAGGAACTTCAAGTGATTTGCTCGTGGAGGAGGGTAAGATAAGTTATTTACTTTAATTTGGTGTTGTGTAAACTTGCTTCAATATATCTAAATCCATGTTTTGTTATTTCTTCGCCATGAATTCTGAGTAGTTGTTTTTTCTTTCCCTTTACAATAAGAAGTAGTGTTGTGAAGAATCAATAGCTGTTTAAAAATGATCTTAATTTCTTAAAATTTGATGATTCATCTTAAACTTCATTTACTTTTCAATCTGACTAATTGGTTTGTTAAAATCTATGCCAAAACATAAGAGCCAGGATGGCCAGGTTTTTAGCATTCAAGTAGGAATCACACTTTAATGTCATGGAAGAGTGAAGTCTCCACGAGATTGAGTGCAAATAAATCGGGAAATATTATTTGATGGGTGTAGAATTGGTGATTTTGTGGCAACATATTTAATCAGCAATTTGATTCAGATGCTTAGAAAGCATATGGTTAGATTATTAGCCCTCAGGTGGGAAGGAAGTGAGAGCTTGTATCATTTCAACCTAACCACGGATGTGGATTCAAAACATCTGAATTAACCAATGTCCTTTATCGCTTGACCAAATGATTAAAAAATATTATTGCTCCTATTTGTCACATGCAATTATGCAATTAATAATAGATTTGATTCGATTCTTCACTAGCTATAACCTTATTGTAAATGGGAAAGATAATTTTCTTAAATTTGAAATCTTCGTTAAAATTAGTTTACCAGACTATAATAGATTTAACTTTTAAGTTTGCAAAATTAGCATAGTAGATTTAGTTTTGTTAGACTTATATTTCACATTTAACTTTAGTTGATGTAGTTCTTATACTATCTGTTTAGGTCCTTTTAATTAAGTAATAATTTAATTTTCTCCTTGTGGAATTGACACTTAGAACTCCATTAGAGCCATATATTACTTGAGTGATATGAATACTTGCATTTATGATCTAGTGAATATAAA